GGTGACCGTGTACTGGTGTGGACTATTAGTGGGGATTGTTAGCTTGTGAGGTAAGCTTTTGTGCCCTCGGATTGATCTGTTGCTTGTTCCACCGACTTCGATGGGAGGGTGGTTTATATGCATGGTATGCTTTGATGAAAATGAGATATGCATTGATATATGCCTGAGATATGTTGATGTACCTGTTGTTGTAATGTATGAATGTGATGTTAGTACTTGTACGATCAAGCAGCAACCCTGGTGTGCAAGGCATGAGGCGGCATCCCTCATGTTTGGTAGGTAGCAGACGTGCATAAACCCTATCCTGTTCCCTAGCCAGTTGAACCGCACTTGCATACATCACATGAGATATGAGTTGTTGTACATGAGATTCTGAGCATTGGAATATATTGTCATAGCTATATTTCCCTAACATGAACATGCATCGTATTTACTGTCTTGAACTTATATATATACTTGTAAGTGAGCTTGGGGCGGAAGAGTCCTTGAGAACCCCTTGTCTTACTGAGATTTCTTTCTAGAAATCTCACCCAGTATGGGGCACATTTTCAGGTACAGGTACATCTGAGGTTGAGACCTCTGGTGGCAGGAAGCTGGAGTTGAGCTGATTTATGCATGCTGCTTATTTAATACATTTGGATTACGCTATGTCTTATTGTTTGATGGCTATGTTATTTGAGACTTGTTGTGATGCTTTATTTGGTAAGCATGGGGGTTGTCCATGCCACGTTGGCATAAGCTATATTCGTCAGACTTGATTTGTATTTGGTATCAGATATTTTCTGGTCTACGTGTTATAGTTCCGTGACTGATACTTATTTATGATTTGAGGATATTCAGTGTAGTTATTTATTGCAATTTACATACAGGCGATATTTGAAAAAGGATAAGTAAATCCACTTGGTTAATAATGAATGGTTTCATAATTGGAAAGAAAAAGTTAGCTTCCGCATTTGTTAAGCTACGCTATTACCATATGTATGTTTAATGCACCGGGTGCACACGGGGTGTTACACCTACCATAAAGCGCCTCGTAGGGTGCCATGCCCAGGCTAGCATGAAAACTGTTGTTGTACGAAAATTCATCCAACGGTAAGTACCGATCCCATACTATGCCCTGCTCCAAAGTGCAAGCCCGCAACATGTCTTCCAATGTCTGGATGGTCCGCTCAGTTTGTCCATCAGTTTGAGGATGATAGGTTGTACTCAATCTCAACTGAGGGTAAATAACTATACGTGCCCATAGTTCATAACTAAGGGTAAAATCATAATTATATGCGATAACCCAAAATTTTAGATTCTTCTATTAAAGTAAATTTAATGGACTTTGGTGAATAACGAAATTTGGATTAATTTGATGATTCATGAGTTAATTGAGGATTAATATGGTAAAAAACTATATATAAGCGAGGGTAAGTTGGTAAATTCACTTGTGGGACCCAACTCGCTTAAATGACCATTTAAGCACATACGGAAATCAGAATTTGAAACTCATCCCCTTCCTTTACAACTGCAAATTTAGTGGGTCACCATTGTTAAGGCATTTGAAAACTTCATACAATCGTAACTTGAGCTCTAGGCCACCAAATTGAGTGATTCTAAATCGTAACTCACTTAAAATTTCGCAAGGAATCCATTTCTTTCCTTTTTTTTGAGTTTGGTGCAATGTAGAGGGAGATACCACCCATTTTCAGTTGCAAAAATATTGAAATTTTTGGGATTTTTGGTGGATTGGAGCTAATGGGAGCTTGAAGAGGTTTCTCCTGTCCATTCTTGGGTTGTTGATGGTAAGTAATCCCACTCTTTTATTGAGTTTTCATATGTTCTTTGATGATGTGTATGTGGGTTGAGGTAATTAGAGACATTGGATGACCATGTGGCTTTGATGATTATTGCTTGGAATGATGTCTTGTGCAGGAAAATGCAATAAAATTTTATGTCTTTTGGAAAATTTAACTTGGACAAAATTTGGTTGGATGAATATAGATTACTTGCAAAACAAATTATTGAGGAATGATGTAATTGGATTGTAGATGGTTTGAATCATTAATAGTAAGTTTGAGGAGTGTTTAATGCATTCCAATCGAATGAAAATCTCTTGGTTCCCTATATGGTGATACCTCGGCCATAAGCTTGAAATTAGGAAAAGAATGTGCAAATTGTGTTTTGGCTTGATGAGTATATATTATGAGTGTTGAATTAATTAGGGATAGACCTAAATGATTACCTCTGGTATCCAGTCAATATTTTTGATATAATAACATAAACATACCAGCAAACACCATCTACATTGTATGGGTATAATAATATAAGCATGGAAAATCACACCTTAATTCCAAATTTAATATATGCTCAAAGATCAGCTTCATAACCTAAAAATCTAAAAATCTAGTAATGAATAATCAAGAACCAGTCCAGGGGCCAAAACAATCTCGCATCCGAGTAGTTAGTGCAATGTGTCTTATAGTGCTGCTCCTAACATAACCGAAGCATGTTTCACATTTTCCTAATGTTAGCAGCAATTAAGATCAGAGTGAACCAAAGAGTGCCTCCAAATCAAGTATGTGACGACAATTAAGAAATAGAGTAAAACCCCAGTTTAGAAACAAACGTAGTAATGGCACATAATCAATAATTCTTAGATAAAAAAATTTCAAGTTGATGTGTAATATGGTTCATTCAACATACCAATAGATGATTCAAACATAATATCAATCAGAAAATCAACCCATCGTACAAGAATTCAGGTCAAGACCGAGAAACTTAAAGTGCCCAAATATGTCATCAAATCATTTTACTCCATTCAACATATTATGACAACATGCAGTGTTGAGTTTCAAGCAAACAGGGACTCCATGCCAATCCTAGTAACTAATTTAAACCAATATGGGACATGTAAAACTATAGGTTAACACGAGTAGTAGAGATTAAGCTTTCACATGTGATTAGGTTCATAATCAAGTGATCAAGCAATCATGTATTGCCACACATCCAATAAGATGCATGTCAATCAATCCGAAATAATCAGTTGATTAGTAAGAGCATCAATTCAAAACAACTCCTCTGTATTCAAGATTATATGTAATCCACAATTAAAGAACTCTTGGTTCAAAATTCATGACAAGTATATGCAGTTCATCTTTCAAGAACAAAATTAGTTAACCCAATGTATATATATCCACCATTATCATACGAAACAAACAAGAAATCTGAAAAACCCAATTCAGAAAATCAAAAACCTTAGGTTGTCACCGTGGAATTCAAGCTTGATTTGTCAAAAAAAAAGCAGGCATATTTTCTCAGTCTTTATACTTCTCAAATGAAATTAGGCATATACAGATAGATCAATCCTAAGAATAAAATCCCAAATGGAATACAAAATCCCAAAACCAAGAACCCTAATCTTGCATGTTCTTATTCAAACCCGTGAGCATGAAACTGAGGGAAGGGAGATTAGTTAACAAAGCCACAAGATAACCCAATGTTAATCCCCAAAGTAATTTCCAGAATCAGCAAGAAGGAAGTTTGAAACACATACCTGATTTGCTTCGTTGAAGAGAGAAACGAGATAGAAGAAAATATGAACGATGAAAGTGGAAATGCCTCGGTGAAGATGTTGGTGCGGTGGTTCCGGTGATGAACAATGATGTGTGTGGGTGATGAGGAAATGGGTGAATGAAGATGCGAGGAAAGAGCAAGATAGGAATGAAAAGTGGGGGAGGGAAAAATGCATAGCAAAATGTTTGGGGGGGAATCTATTTGTAAAACAGAGTGAGTGTTTGCTTGCTGTCGTTCCTTGCTGGTGCGAGGAAGGGAGCGAGCTTAACCTAATAAGCCAAAGTTCATATTTCCAGCGAGGATGAGGCCAAAACATGCGTTTTTAGGACAAGCTCGATGAGTAGCTCGCTTAAAATCTCAAAATGTTAAATCAGACCTGGCCTCTATGCAGCAGTGTTACTTCTACTCTAGATCATGCCTTACGAATACATATATCCAATGTTGGGTGTGTGATATTTCTAAGATGAGGTGCACAATAGGCAACAATTCAGGGGATTAGCTACTCAAAGTTTGTTATTGCTGACTCAGCCATATCAGAAGAGAATATTCGTTCAGTTGTGGATTGCAAGGAAAACGGTTAGATGTGAGAAGCATGCTAGAGGCGCATATATATTGCTCTGTTTGGAGTGTGGAGGGGATCTTTGGGACTTAGAACTTTGGGCACCTCTTGGGTGATTGGGAGAGTCTAGAGCCTCTATAATTGCTCTAGAATTATCTTGCATTATTTCTCTTTCTGCTATAGCATTTCCAGTTCATTGTATTTCCCTTTTCTTGTTAAATTGTCTCTGAGTTGTTATCATTTTCATATTGTAATACAGGTATAGGTACATCTATATAGAGATCTGTGTTCCTTTTCCATAATCCATTGTAAGTTTGATTTATTTTCTGGTTGGTCTCTCCAATTTCTCCAATCGGAGATTTGCTTCGAGGATGATGAAGCTGAACCAGAAATAAAGACAATAAACGAAGAAAGAAAGAGCAGCATAGAAGAAAGAAATGTGGAGATATTGGAGCGCATCAATGTTCTTGAGAACACCATCAACAAAAATCAAATTCACAGAAGACAAGATGATGGAAGCCAAGGAAGAACAGAGAAATCGAGCCAACAATTTTGCAACAATTTTCAGATCTATGACAACCGGCAAATGGAGAAAAAAGAGGATCAGAAAATACAGTGCAGCCATGAGAGAAACCAGCTGCTGCAAACGCATGAGAAACTGGAAGAAGAGGGGCAAGCCAGGTCGGGTTTACAAAAATTGACCCAAGGTACTGACGTAACGGGCCAGGCCCAAATTGCTGTTGAGTTTCTCCAAACCCAAATCAATGAAACCCTGTTTTCTGTACAAATTGGGCTTGTGAGTCACATTATGCAGATCCAACAAAATCACCAACTAAGCCTACATCTAAGCCACTAATGGAGCGTCACAACCCAAAGGAAGAGAACCTGGACGAAGGAAAAGAAAACGACGAACATGAGGCACCGCTTGAAGCTGAAAAGCCACTTGAGCTCAAGCCTGAAGCGAAATCAAAACCGCCTCGACCGCCAACAAAGGAGAATTCAGATTTGATGGATTCATTACATGTGGTACCATCATTGCAATCTGATGTCAGCACCGATGCAGTGGCAGCATTGCTGTCCGGACATGTGCGCCAGAATACATTATTCGAGTTTAAACAAAGGTATGTTTTCGGGCACGCACCATATTCTCCTTCCATCCCTGCGGTCTCTTTTTGGAAACCACCGATTGGGAACCACATGTCTGATTCGAGTGGTTATAACTTGTTGGGTGGAGTATGTTTTAATGTGAATGAGGTTTTTGTGTGGGACCCACTAGTGCTCTGTTTCTCTATCGATTTGGGTGAAGCTATTGATGACATCGGGGGTGCAGGTCAGGGCCATGGGAATATTTGTTATGTGGTTGGTTATGAAGATTTTTGCCTCGAAATATTTTGTGTGCCCAATTTCGCTTGTGTTTTTTGTATTAAAATTTTTTAATATGGAAAGAACCACCTTGCTAATGCTTTGATGAAAGAGGTGCCAAAATATTCAAAAAAAAATAAATTATGGAAGCTTTGGTGAAGTGGTCTGCCAAGATAGGAAGAAAAATGTACTGAACATGAAAGTTGTGGAGTTAGCCAGGTTGAGATGGGCAGGGAAACTTAGTCATTTTTTGGGATTATGAGTGATGGAACAATTCCTTGTTATCATGGCTTTTATGAAATTCCATATACGAATTCTAAAATGGGATGCATCTCTGACTTGCCTATCTATAATCCTCAACCATTGGGGGCTGCAAAAGAACAATGGCATCGTGGTGAAAAATATGATACTTCAATTCCTTTCTTAGAATCTGTTATTAATGGACTTAATTCAGAATTAGAGACTCAAGACTCATGTGCAATTCTGTCCAGATACCGTTATTGTTCTCTGATAGTTTCAGAACACAAAAGTCTAGTGTGATATATGTTGTTTTGGCTCTAATGTATGAAAATGATACTATGCATGCCCCATCTATAGTGATTGAGGCCAAAACAATTGGGCATCGTCCCACAGTCAAACAAGATGATATCAAAGCAATTGAATTACTATGTAATGTTGATGGAAGTGGTACACCATTCCCAGTGAGAGGAAGAGGCCAGTTGCTTGATTATATTTTAATTCCAGTGTGTCGAGATGACAATGAGGGCATCACGGAATACAATGAACTTTTGCATACTCAAGCAATTGCTGTAAGCGCCTACACTACCTTGCAATGGTATCCTGGTGGAATTTGTCATGCATTGCGGTCCTTACAGTTCCAGCAATGGGATCCCGGAGGTAACATTGTCATTATTTGTACTCACCTTGAGTACAAGGTGATTGTTTTGGGGGAGAGTATTGATACGATCCTTTCTAAGATGAGGTGCACAATAGGCAACAATTTAGGGGATTAGCTACTCAAAGTTTGTTATTGCTGACTCAGCCGTATCAAAAGAGAATATTAGTTCAGTTGTGGATTGGAAGGAAAATGGTTAGATGAGAAAAGCATGCTAGAGGCGCATATATATTGCTCTGTTTGGAGTGTGGAGGGGATCTTTGGGACTTGGAACTTTGGGCACCTCTCGGGTGATTGGGAGAGTCTAGAGCCTCTATATTTGCTCTAGAATTATCTTGCATTATTTCTCTTTTTGTTATAGCATTTCCAGTTCATTGTATTTCCTTTTTCTTGTTAATTTGTCTCTGAGTTGTTATCATTTTCATATTGTAATACAGATATAGGTACATCTATATACAGATCTGTGTTCCTTTTCCATAATCCATTGTATGTTTGATTTATTTTCTGGTTGGTTTCTATCATTGTGTCTCCTCATAATGCGTGCAAATCAAATGAGCTATCACAAGTACTAGTTGGACTAATATGAAATGCCAACAAACACATATAAAATAAAAACTATAAATAAAAATAAATAAAATTTAAATGAAAGAAACAAAAATTGTTGGGCTGCCTCCCAAGAACGCTTGTTTAACATCACGAGCCTGACATTATAGCTTATAGACTACTGTGGAAGAAGAGGAATGCAACTCGTTCCTTTTTTTTCATCTTGATCAATAAGGTATAGTTTCAGCCTGCAACCGTTAACCTTAATAGCACGGTCTCCGTAAAGTGTCGAAACCTCAATAGTACCATACGAAAATACCATCTTGACTACAAACGGTCCCGACCAGCGGGATTTGAGCTTACCAGGAAATAATTTCTGATGAGAATTGTACAATAGTACTTTTTGGCCTGGCTCAAATTCCTTTAGAATGATATTCCTATCATGCCACTTTTTGATTTTCTCTTTATAGATATAGGCATTTTTATAGGAAGGTAGACACAACTCATCTATCTGCAAAAGCATGTTCTCATTAGCAGTCTTATAGTCAAAATGGAGAAACTTAGTAGCCCAACTAGCCTTGAATTCTAACTCCACTAGAAAATGACAAGACTTGCCACAAAGCAATTGAAATGGAGACATCCCAGTGAGAGTCTTAAAGGCAGTTCTATATGCCCAGAGAACATCTTCCAGCTTCTTGGACCACTCTTTTATAAAGCTTCCTACAGTCTTCTCCAGAATACGCTTCAGTTCTCTGTTAGAAATCTCCCCTTGCCCACTAGTCTGTGGATGGTATGGTGTTGCAACCCGGTGTGTGACACCATACTTGCTAAGCAAGGCTTGAAATTGCTTATTGCAAAATTGAGTCCCTCCATCACTGATTATAGCCCTAGTCACTCCATAGCTAGTGAAGATGTTCTTTCGCAAGAAATTAAACACTACCTTGGCATCATTGGTCTAGAGAGCAACTGCCTCCACCCACTTAGAAACATAATCAATTGCTACCAAGATGTAGGAATTCAGATAAGAGTTAGGAAATGGTAATATGAAGTCAATACCCCAAACATCAAAGACTTCAACTTCTAAAATACTATTTAACTACATCTCATTCTTTCGCGAAATATCCCCAGTTTGTTGACAGTTATCGCAAGTCTCTATAAACTGTCTGGCATCTTTAAAAAGCGTGGGTCAATAAAACCTGCTCTGAAGAACCTTCGTGGCAGTCTTAATTTCCAGCACCCACTGTAATCAGATCCATGACAGTGCCATAAAATATCTCTAAACTCTTCCTCCAGAACACAACATGACAATACCATCAGCACATCGGAAGAAAAGATATGGGTCATCTCAAGCGTATCTCCTCACATTATGCATAAATTTTTTCTTATGCTGCCCCATGAGATCTTCAGGGAGCGATCCAATCGCTAAATAATTTGAAAAATCAGAAAACCAGGGTACTCTACTCCTTATAGCCAATAATTGCTCGTCAAGGAATTCTTCTATGATTAATAAGTCCGGACTATCTTGAATCCTGGAAAGATGATTTGCCACTAAATTTTCCACTCTTTTCTTATCCTTGATCTCAGGTGTAAACTCCTATAAAAGAAGCATCCAACGGACAAGCCTCGACTTTCCATCTTGCTTCGTCAGGAGGTATTTTAGTGCAACATGGTCTGTAAACACTATGATCTTAGATCCTATCAGATAGGATCTGAACTTGTCCAATGCATACACTATAGCTAGCATCTCTTTCTCAATTGTGGCATAATAAAGCAAAGCTTTATTAAACACCTTACTAGCATAATAGATAACGTGCAGTAGCTTATTCTTCCTTTGACCTAGGACTGCTCCAATTGCATAATCACTCACATTGCACATTAGCTCGAAAGGAAGCGTCCAGCCAGGTGCAGTCAACACATGTGCAGTAATGAGTTTCTCTTTCAACATATTGAAAGCTTGCAAACACTCACCATTAAAAACAAACTCAGCACCTTTCATAACAGTTGGCTAAAAGCTTAGCTATCTTGGAGAAATTCTTGATAAATCTCCTATAAAATCCAGCATGTATAAGAAAGCTTTGCATGCCATTAACATTAATAGGGGAGGAAACTTCTCAATTATAAGCAACTTGGCCTTATCCACCTCAATCCCCTTCACAAAAATATGGTGTCCTAAGATTATCCCTTAGTTATCATGAAATGTCACGTCTCCCAATTAGGAAAAAAGTTGGTCTCCTGACAATACTTGAGGACAAAAGAAAGATTTAACAAGCAGGTGTCGAAAGAAGAACCAAACATGGAGAAATCATCCATGAACACTTCTCAACCATATCATAGTAGATGGATAAGACACACCTTTGAAATGTGGCAAGTGCATTGTAGAGACCAAAGGGAATCCTCCGGTAAGCGAATATACCAAATGAGCAGGTAAAAGCTATCTTCTCTTGGTCCTCAGGAACCACTGGTATCTGGTTGTAACCTAAGTAACCATCTAAGAAGCAATAATAAACATGCCTAGCAAGCCTCTCCAACATTTGATCTATACACGGCAGAGGGAGGTGATCTTTACGAATGGTATTATTTACCCTCCTATAGTCCACGCACATCCTCTAGCCAGTCACTGTCCTACTCGGGATCAATTCATCATTCTCATTCTTAACTACGGTGACCTTTCCTTTCTTTGGAACAGTTTGTATAGAACTCACCCACTTACTATCTGATATTGGATAAATCATACCTGCGTCAAGAAGCTTCATAACTTCTTTTTTCATAACTTCCTTAATAATGGGGTTTAATCTCCTTTACGATTGACGAACCAACTTAATATCATCCTCCATTAAAATCTTATGAGTGCAAAAGGAAGGATTGAAACCCATAAGATCATAAAAAATTCAACCTATAGCGAACTTATGCTCTTTTAGCACCCTCACTAGCTTATCTTCATCCTCCTTTGGCAATGAATTATTGATAATAACTAGATAAGTATCATCATCGCCAAGGCAGACATACTTCAATGTAGGAGGGAGTTCCTTCAATTCTAACTTCAAAGCCTCAGGGGACTTGATAGCATCTGTCTTATCTTGATAAATGTTCAAAGACTCCGACTCACGATCATCAGAGACAACATCAATAGCTTTAACTACTTCCTCCAACAGTGCCTCATTTAACGGATCAAAAGATTACAAAATCCTTGCAAATGATTCCTTTTATAGTAGGCGTAGAGTTAATATCATCAACGGTAGCTGCTATAGCTTTGTCAATCACTTCGATATGAGAGCAATCACCTTTTTCTTCAGGGCATTTCATGGCATCAAAAACATTAACAATGAATTGCTCACCATTTACCCTAAAGAACAACTCTCCTTGCTCAACATCAATTAAGACTCGAGCTGTGGCTAAGAAAGGTCTTCCCAAAAGAAGAGGTACTTCAACATCCTCTTCCATATTTAACACCACGAAGTCTGCAGGGAAGATGTAATCATAAACCTTAACCAGGACATCTTCAACCACTCGTTCTAATTTCTTGATAGATCTATCTGCTAGTTGTAGCGAGAGAAGAATGGGTTTTAACTTGGTAATTCCAAGGGACTTAGCAAAAGAAAGTGGCATCAAATTGATGCTAGCCTCTAGATCGCAAAGTGATCTCCCCACATGAACATTCCAAATAGTGCAAGAAATGTGAAACTCCCAAGATTCTTGAGCTTCGGGGGTACTCTTTTCTGGATAATAGCACTACATTCCTTTGTCAAGGCAATTGTCTCCATCTCTTCTTTAAGCTTATGCTTCCTTGAAAGTAAGCTCTTCATGAACTTAGTATAGATGGGCATGTTATCTAAAGCCTCAACAAATGGAATATTAATTTACAACTTCTTGAACATTTCCAAAAATTTGGAATATTGCTATTTTTGTGCCTGCTTCTTTAATCTCTGAGGATATGGAGCCTTAACATAGAGATTTTCTTCAAGAGACTTCATCATTTATCTAAAAAAGGTTTCTTCATTCTCTTTCGTGAGGTGTCCACTTTCTCATTTAATTCTCCACCAATAATGATGACATCCTCATCAACAGCCTCATCTGTTTTTCCTTCAATAGGCTTCTCTTTATCAGCATCTTTTTCATTGCTTGATGCATAGCTTTACATTGCTCTTTTGGATTAACGATCGTGTCGCTTTTAAAAATTCCTCGGGGTTCTCTCAAATGATTGCTTGGAGAGTTAACCAATATGATTTTCTAGCTTTTTCATGGAGGCCTCTTGATTCTTGAAAGATGCTCTAGTCTCTTCTATAAAACTTATGTGGGATTGAGTCATCTTCTCAAATGCAATTTCCCAAGTTGCTGGCTAACTAGGCTGCGCTTGTTGAATTCCCAGATTATCTTGTTGTCGTGCTCCTTGCTTATAGGAGAATTTTGGGTGACTCCTCAATCCAGGATTATAAGTGTTACTATACGGATTATTCTCTCTTTGTTGGTTGTTACATATTCTATTCACTTGAGCAAGGTATACTGTAATTGTGGCATCACAATTAACAGTGCCATGAGGCCCGCTGCAAGTATCACAAACCACAGGAAACTAGGCATTAACCGCTGAAATCTGAGTTTTAAGTAAAAAGCTTTACAAGCGGCTCTAGCCTTTAATCCATCTTGTTTTTCTTGGCTAACATTGCATCATATTCTTCCAGCTGCATGTTCTTCTCTTAGGCTGTGCTGGTGTGACCTCAGTGTCCTCAGCTACCATCTTCTCAATTAGTTCCATAGCTCTGGTGCTTGCGACCTATGACAAACTTCCTCCAACTGTAGCATTGAGTAATATCCTATAGGTCGCTGAGATTCCTTTGTAAAAGATTCTAACTTTCTCACCATTGGAAAGCACATATTGTGGACACCTCCTCATGAGCTCCTT